TATCACAATAAAATATTATGAAGCAATGTTTATTAACACTGGCATAAAATCACTTACCGTGCGAGTGCATAATTTAAAGAAAAAATAAAGCACCTTTTGCACATCGAATACTACAATTATTTTGAATAATATTAAAACAATATTGCTTCCTTTTTTGCTTTTGATATTGTTACATAATACAATAAAATAATTTGATAATATGCACGAAACTCTATAACATGTAAACAGAAAATTTCGCTTACGAGTGGAATATGTTCGGAATTTTAATCTAATTTAAATTTCGAACTGGATCTGACGACGTCGTTTTGTGACAGTTTTACTGATGATCTACTTTCCTTGTCGTAAATATAACTTTCTTTTTTTAACTGACTAAATCAGGTAGAATCTGTACCTTTTTCAATACAATATTGTTGCAGAAAAAGACCTTGATTTTTAAAAACATTTAATTTAATCATGTGTGAACTGCTGTTGTTTAATTATAACTTAATAAACATAACTCGTTATCTTACATAACATTTTTTTTTAATTTGTATTAGAGAGTACGACTAGCTGTTTAACTGCCAAATAGAATAAGCAAATTATTATAATTGTTATCATTTTATTCTTATACGGTCATCCTATTCTGAGCTTCATGAGGAAGTTAGTTTAAAATCAATTAATAAATTCGACTCCAACAGACATTATAAGAAAACGAGTTAGTAAAAACGTGGTAAGAAAAAACCCGAGATCTAATAATTATAAAATACATTACATGTTATATTAATTTGAAATGTACTCGTTAATACAAATTCATCATGTATCATTAGTAATACATTTGTAAAAAGCAATTGAGCTTTTAATAACTTGACAGTTCATATCTGCCATATTTATTTTATGCTAACGTCGTAATATACTCTATGTTTATATGTTATCCATGTTACCCGCGCGATAATGACAAATCGATTAAGATATCATTTGTCGATATCCGGCAACAAGTTTAGGACTTACGGATGGAAATACAAACGGAAGTAGGTACATACGAGTACATACCAACTTGATATTTTTACGCTGCCACGGTCGAATAAAAAATTCCAAAATTGATATTCTAATATTGTAAGAGAATTAAAAATTTAAAAGTAAAAGAAAAAAACATTGAAGGTATAGACACCAGAAATAATAAATAATGTCCTCCATACCGAATTTCGGTCATGGAGGCTCGCCTCAGCGGAGACTAGCCAACTGCCCAAGGCACCCTGCCTATAGTATAGTGCCCAAGTCTATGCGCAAGCACAAGTGCACTCTCATAGTCCGATGGGACGGTAAACCAACACCACGGGAGAAAGATCAGTCGCAGGACCAACGGCTTTATGTGCTTTAGTAGATATGTATCCAGAAAGAATAAATGAGTAAAGAGTGACAAAGTGGATTCATACTTCACAGATGAGTGTTAGAGTGGGCAAGGGACGCCCTAGACGGAAGTTTATGGACCAACTTGGCGATATATTAAAACTGCGCAAAATTAAAAGTTCTCCTACCGACCACTATGTATACGTAGTTATATGGATGTAGAAATAACGAACGGATTTGAAGGCTTCGTGGCGTAGTGGCTCAGCATGGAGTTGTGGCGCTACTGAAGGCTGCGAGTTCGAATCCCGATCGGAACCAAGGGTGCTTACGGGGCCTTAGCCCACAATTAATTGTTCTGGTTCTGGATGTTTGACCTTTTGCGATATATGTATGTAAATTGCCTCCATGACACAGAGAAAATCTTACTACGGGATTATCTGTTTATAGTGTATTATATTTTTACCGTTTTGAAAAATAACTAAGTAAGTAAATATATATTAATAATAATAAATACTCGTATGCAAGAGCGGTGTATCATCATCGTCCATCCTCTATCACGCTCTGTCTGCCGCTCTGAGTGACAGAGCGGTCCCAAGCCACCTGAATCCATCGACTTCCCGCATGTCTTACCAGGTGGTCACTCCATCTAGTGGGGGGTCATCCTACACTACGCCTACCGATACGAGCCACTCGAGAACCTTTTTCTCTATCAGTTGTCGGTTCTTCGAGCTATATGGCTGGCCCATTTTCACTTCAGCTTACTAATCTATTGGGCTATGTCGTGCACTCTGGTTATACTGCGGATATCCTCATTTTATGGAACACATTTTATATACTCATGAACTTTAACAATACCAAGTCTTACACCCCTCCGTGTGCATAATGTACTTAAAAGGAGTACAAAGTTTTAATATATTAATATACAAATACCGATTACTGAGTCACATGTTATAGTAATAAAGTTAGGTTGCAAACATTAATTAAACTTACAGAAACATACATATACGAGGGCGGCACTGAAAATTTCGGGAATCAAGGAAGTGACACAACATTACTATTTAAAAATGTATTTATTGCTTTTCGAAGTATTCTCCGCGAAATTTGACACATTTTTCCATACGAGGGAACCAATCATTGAAGCAACTATTCCATTCGGAAGTTGGGGTCTCCAAAATGGCCGTTTTGTAGGCGTCCACAGCTTATTCAGGTGATGAAAATCTCTGTTCACGCAATTTATTATTTATTTTAAGGGAAAGTATAGAAATCATTAGGGCTTAGGTCGGGGCTGTACGGCGGATGGTCTAATAATTCTATGTTTTCTTGCTCTAAAAACTCTTTTGTTCTGTGTGCGGTGTGAGAACTCGCATTATCGTGATGGAGGATGATGCGGCGGTTACAGTTCTCTTTACGGAGTTTAGAAACGACCTGTGGCAAACAAATGCTAGCATACCTTTCTGCATTAACCGTTCTTTGTCCCTCAAGAGGAATAGTCGTAACATGGCCGGTTTTGGAGACAAACGTGGCCACCATTTTTTTTGCAACACTCCGTGAACGAACAATTTTTGTTGGCTTTAACTCATTTTCGAACACCCAAACTCGTGACTGGTTTTTTGTTTCGGGTTCGTACGCGTATATCCAGGATTCGTCACCTGATACGATGTTGTATACAGCATTTGAGGATCCTGGGTGGACTCCTTTCGAGAGTTCTGACGCACCAAGTAATGCGAGCCGCTTTTTGCTCTTCACAGAGCGAATGCGGTATCCATCGGGAAAACAACTTTTTTACACCTAATTGTTCATGCAAGATTATTTGTATTTGACTCATGCCAATATCTAAAGTTGCCTGAATTTCGCGGTTTGTCACATGTCGATCTTCCTCAATCAGCTTACGCACAGCATCAACGTTTTCTTGGGTGACTGCAGTTTTTGGACGGCCTTGACGGGGATCATCACTGAGCTTGACACGTCCACGTTGAAATTCAGCAAGCCAGTGATAAATTGTGATTTTGGATGGGGCTTCATCACCAAATGCAGAAATCATCCGGTCAACACACTGTTTTTGTGTTAAACCACTTCGAAAGTCATAATAAATCATCGCTCTTGAATTTTCTCGAGTCAATTCCATTTTCTCAACGACTAAACAAGTTTGACAAAACCTTGTGACAAGACCGAGAATCTTTTTTTAAATAAATAAATGGTATTCGATTTTTAAAATCAAGGAGTTTTCAATTAAAAAGATTTTAATATGACAGGAACAGTGGAAATATTCCATTCCCGATACTTTTAGTGCAGCCTAGTACACCCTCGTATTGACTTCAACCATCGCGATCTAGGTTAGCGGATCAATATCGAAGTGTTGCTATATATATTTAAAAAAAAAACGGTTTTATGAGTTGTATTTCACGGTGATTTCATGTTTATTTACTAACGTTTTTAAATCTTTCTCACTTTAATATTAATAATCGTTATTACTATTGTAATAATGATTTCTAATAATTACGTAACTATTGTAATATTTATTGATATAATTTAATATAGTTGTTGTTAATTCAGTTGCAAATTTTTTTGTTACTCGGTGTCTTCTTTGATTGTGAACCGTCTTAAAAGATTAATTTTATTCGTTAGTCTGGTCATCGTAAGCGCGCTGATACGCGGTCCAGGGTTCGAATCCCAAAAATCAGGTTTTTCTGTTAAGAAATTTTTAGTAGTAGTAGTAGCAGCAGCAGCAGAAGCAGCAGAAGCAGCAGCAGCAGTAGCAGTAGCAGCAGCAGTCAGGAAGTTGGCGTTCTTTCACCTCCATGCCTCGGAAAGCACATAAAGCCGTTGGTCTTTCATCTGATCTGTATCTGCTCTGGTAGCCGCCCCATTGGAATATGAGAGTGAGAATCAATGCTTTTGCACGTCGTTGTGACCGAAATTCGGTCTGGAGGACATTTTTACGCACGACATAAAATCTCATGCTTAAGTTAATAGGGTATACATTCCCGTTATCCTTCGCTACCCTGCGAGGAGACCTAGGTTCTATAGTGTTTTTATTACTATAGTACGTGAGGGTAATACGGTCACTCGGTGAATATGGTCACTTTCTTGCAACTCAAAAACTACAGCCTTGTTTGCATAGATGGCTTTGTGATACGATAACTCTTCATTTGTCAATCAAATATTAAAAGGTCAAAAGGGCGATGCTTTATCGACTCCATTTTGACAGTTGACATTGTAGTAAACATTTTAGTCAATTTTAGTATGGTGTAGTGTAGTTAGTTTTTTTATGAAGATTTTTCGAAGTGCTCCTAATTATTGCCAAAGCTTGTTTGCTATTTTTTTCTTAATATATTAGTTATAGTACACGACTTTGTGTTTTTGTCTCTGCCCTTCTCCTAGTTTTGGGTTTTTAGGGACACAAAGCTTAAGGCGACCATACCCTCATGTACCTTATTAGAATATGGAATGGAGGATGCGTAGAAGATTTTTAGTAATTTTGGTGTTTTAGATAAATACTTCACAAATCTTAGTTTCGTAGTAAATCTGAAACAGAAGTTGATAATTAACCTAAAGCTAGTACTAGTAGCTAATAGCTAGTACTGTACTGTAGTACTAAAAGCTCGGAGGTTTTACTTTTAGTAAAACCTTTTTATTTGAACCCATCATATTATTATATAAACTGGTTTTATATAATGGCGTGCGAGCTAGCAGTCCAGGTATTGGGTACACAACTTTAACCACTGAAGGCGACAAAGTTCAGTTTTCTTTTATCAATCCCCGTATTAAATTAGTATAATTTTCAATATAAATGGTTACCGTTTCTTATAACTACGCTAATAAATGACCAAAATGACCTTTTCATGTTAAACCTTTAGTTACCTTAACCGAGGTCTATTAACACATGCACTCATAACACAACGCTTCCGACATCGTTAAAGGTAATCAAGGTGTACTTTATTATATAGCCGACAGATTAAATTTTTTGTCGATGGTGTAGATAATAATGGTAATAGAAAAATAATTAAGTAGTATTTATAATATTGAATAATGAAGTTTATCATTAACTGTGTAGTTGCGGTTAGAATATCTGTTACCCGGTATCATCCCATGGATGTCGTAGGACACAAGGAAACGAACCCGGAGATGGACAGCAGGGCCTACCCTATAATATTGTAAAAAATAATGTCAGCTATGGGATATATCCTCCTTAAGATACAGTCTATAAGTCCTATAAAGGGGGCATTCCATCTTAGTCTTCGTGTGGGGTTGACACGAAGACTAAGATGGAATATATATATATATATATATATATATATATATATATATATAGAAAAAAGGAAAGAAAGAAAAAGTTCATTTGGTACATACATTACAACAAAAAGAATAAATTAAGTAAAACATTTTTTTATACCTTATTAAAATATTTAAAAAAGGAATAACGGAATATGCACCAATACTGTCTACACTCAGCTTTAAGTCACGAATTGAAGATATAAATACATCAATTCGTAACGCTGATTTTCAGTGGAGCCAGGAGTGTGAGGCAGACGACAAATAAAAGCAAAAGAAAAAAAACTAAACAAAAAATAAAATAAAATGAAAAGAATTGCCAAAATTCCACGTGTCAGTGCAAAATTGATAGTGTAGAGATGAAGAAACGGTGGTATAAACGGTGGAAAAAAATAAAATAAATTGTGTAAATATGTGTATGTGGATGTGTGCATGCGTGTTTGAGTGTGGGAGTGCGTTCGAATGTGCATGTACGATGTCTAGCATCGAGATTGTATGACCCATACCATTTATGCCTATTTGCTGGATTTTTGTACGGAAATCCGTATAAGTAATTTTTTCAATGTGCAGTGTTAGCGTAAGTTTAAGAAATCATTATAGGATAAAAATACAAGTACGTAATCACATTTTTTGAAAAATAATAATAGAAGAAAAAACGTCATTTATTGTGCTAGGTGTGGGCTATAGAGATTTTAAATTTTATAGACGCAACGTCTGCAAATGAATACACAGTCCACCTGATATAATATTAAGTGGCTATTATGTTACTCTCCGGTTCTCTACACTAACCGCACGAAAGCATAACCCTGCTGATGCTGTCATTTTACGTGAGTATTCTGTGAGAGCGAGGTCCTCCGGTTGTGCTAGTCCATAATGTCAACAGCATTGCTCTATATCGTACAAAGGCGAATGTATATAGATGTAGATATAGAAGATATAGAGATAAGAATATATAGATGTAGATTGCGCTGTCATTGATAGTGAACCTTAGATATTTTTGTAATAGAGTCTACTTTTATGTTCTTTACAGCCATACAATAAACACTAAACATACTCCTTTTACGTGGTAGAGCCATGCTGCAGTTATATTAGTGGAATGGATGGGCTAAACCGGGTAAGGACCACGCTCTCACGGAATACCAGCGTAAAATAGCAGCTTAACGTTACTGTGTTTCGTATTGTAAGCGTAGAGAACCAGAGACCCATTTTACTGGAAACGAGGCATTCCATCTTAGTCCTCGCGGGTGACAACACATCTGAATTTTGATTCGTAATCGAGGGTAGATGTAGATGTCTATTGGTCACAGCAACCACTTAACGTCAGGTGGACTGTGTGCTCGTTTGTCAACTTTATCCTACAAAAAACTCCAATAAGAACACTTATTAAGCTCAAAATATGCGGGCTAGGAGTAGTTACAATAGTAATCAAAGGGGGATTCGTACTAAAGAGTACTAGTACTAGGTGGTAAGACTTTTGTTCTTCCTAGGAGTCCGTCTGAGTAGATACGACCCTTTTTCCTAATTCTTTCGCCCAATAATAATATCTTCACTGCTAGGTTCTGGTCTAAAAGGTACAGAGCGACAGTATAATTGCAGGCTTTGAGGTATCCCGTCTTGGTCCTCAGAAATGTATATGTCCATGGGATGCAGTGGCCACTTACTACCCGTGCGGTTAAAGAATGGGATTGAAAACGGCGACGTCTCTATTCGCCTCTCGCTCGCACTCTGTCACTATCTGTACCCACACCCGCCGGTAAAGACTGCAAAAAAAATACGTTGCGATATGCGTTTTTTTGTGCGATTACGATTGCGTTTGATCTAGACTAAATTTAATCAGGAAAATTTATAGATTTTATTAAAGTAGAAGTATTTATGAGATAAAATAAATGGATTTTAATGTGTATCTTAAGTCTAAATAACGCCGCGTTATTAGAAACTACCCAGGCGAAGCCAGAGCGGGTCGCTAGTTATAAATTTAATTTACAATTAATGTACCTAAAAGCGTGTACAGTTGTTTTCAAATACTTTTCAAGTTGTTTTCAAATAAGTTTCCAATTAACCGAATAATATAACGTTTTAACGATATATCGTTATTAACGGGTTTTCGCTATTGGTACTGTACATGTTGACGGTACGGGCTCGATGAGTCGCCATATCTAATCCTATTCTTTATCCGTACAGCTATACAGTTTGATGATCTGTTTGGTCGTTTATAATTTTTTTAATATCGGATTTACGTCACACAGTTTCATAGCAGACTTATGTTGCTCTTTTGCTGCTTATTCGCTAAAATTGTTCCATTAAAAGTTAAAGTTACAGCCTATACACGTCCCACAGCTGGGCACAGGCCTCCTCCCATTTCTGAGAGAATTTTAGGGTAAGGAAATCCGCCGCGCTGCCCCAATGCGTGTTGGCGAACTTCACATGTCTTCGAAATATTTTTTTTCTTATTTCGCAGACATGCGGGTTTCCTCATGATGTTTTCCTTCAACGCCGAGCGCGTGGTAAATCAGCATTTAAAATTGCAATTAACCATTTCACTGGCACTGGCGGGGATTGAACTGGGGTTGTTCATGTACTGTGAAACTTACAGCGAGCGCTAACTATCTGAGCTACAACGGCTCTAGAAAATTGTGCTATGACACTGGTTAAATGTGTCGCTTTTTGCATATTGTTGCATTAATGGTTTTATCTAACACGTGCATTAAATTTGAATAATGTATATTAATACAATGTACCAATTAATTAAAACACATTAAAATCTTATCAATTATTTGCGTGGATTTATAAAACAATTAGACATGGTCATATAAATACAAAATCGAGGAACGTGTCTGTGACGTTCAAGATAGATAGAGCCATGCTGCAGTAATTTTTTTGGTTGTAGCACGAATGGATCAGCTCGACCGGGATAGGACCACGCTCTCACAGAATACCAGCGTAAAATCGCAGCTTAATGCTACTGTGTTTTGTATGTTGAGTGTAGAGAACCGGAGACCCCTTTTACTGGAAAAGAGGCATTACATTTTAGTGCTCAGGGGTGACAACGCATTTGCATTTTGATTCTTAATTGAGGATAAATGTAGATGTATATAGGCCACAAAATCCACTAACCATCAGGTAGATTGTGTGCTCGTTTCTCAGCCTTATTATAGTAGGGAGCCATGTTGTGGGGGCCGGCGCGACGGGAGGCCCAGCCAACAGGGTAGTTTTTTGGGCCCCTCTCCTCACGCGTTTTTTTAAAGATTTGTGGGGCCCCCCCCAGGGGTGGGTGTGTGTCTAAAAAAAAAAAAAAAAAAAATCTTTTGACTATTTTTCTTTCGTTACTATTACTGCTTCTTTCAAAATCCAGCGTTAGGAAAGACCAAGAGTGACTCATATAATCCACCTAATGTTAAGCAGATGCTGTTGCCTATAGAGATTTACATCTATCCTCGGTTAAGAACCCAGATGCATCAATCATGAAAACTGAGATAGAATGTCTCGTTGCCAGTAAGGGTATCCGGTTCTCTGCGCTCACTATATGAAACAGCAGCGTTATTCTACCCGGGCCAACCAATTCGTGCTGCAATGATAATATAGCTATTCTTTATATGTGGTAGAGCCACGCTGCAGCTATATTATAGTTGTAGCACGAATGGCTCGGCTCGACCGGGGCAGGACCACGCTCTCACAGAATACCAGCGTATAATAGCAGCTTAAGACGGTTCCCCTAGCGAGAGACCTTGAGCGTTCGGTCCCATACAATCCACGCGCTCTCGCTACAATATATCACGGAAAAATACGCCCGAATATTTGGAATTATTTCAATTAAAAGAGATAAGCGAACTTAAGAAATGAAATAAAACGTGTAGAATATAGATTTTTAAATTATCTATCCATTAGTGTAATTCTCAAATGATTAGAGCATTTCCTTTAGCAACAGATGCATGTAATCAATAATTTTAGTCATTTTTTAAAAGTAGATTTTAAATGTATGCATAACACATAAAAACGAATTAGAACGTGGAATGTGATGATAGGATATCGAACATTAATAATGTGCTTTTAGATGTAGCTTATTTCTCATAAATAATGAGATAATAGTCTCTGAAAAACGCACTTTTGCCAGGTTATGGTCAGGGTAGCGCCTTAATACTGCTGTGTTTCGTATAGCAAGTGTAGAGATCCGGAGACCCTTTTTTACTGGTTACAAGGCATTCCGTCTTAGTCCTCAGGAGTGACAACTGTGTTTTGATACTTAATCGAGGATAAATGTACACGTCTATGGGCCACAGCATCCACTCACCATCAGGTGGACTGTGTGCTCGTTTGTCACCCTTATTTTATATAAAAAAATATAGCTGCAGCACGGCTTAACAAAGCTACCACGTAGGAAAATTTATTTAATTTATATAAAACATATCCTCACAAAACATCATAATCAATTTTATTAGTGCATTTACTAATAAAATTGCACGGATACGAAGATATAACGGCGTTACTTATCTTGCAATCCAATTTTTATACAAAGTTTAATAAAACTATTATTTACGGATTTTATCGCATTTAATTACTTTAATTTATTTTTATTATTATCCCGACGTTTCGGGTGCTTTACAGCATCCATGGTCACGGAGGGGGGGACTGAGATGTTTGACGTCCCAATGTCATAGTTAGTCCGGCTACCTTCAGTTTTTTTAATATTAATTTTTGGTCCACTGAAGGTAGCCGGACTAACTATGACATTGGGACGTCAAATATCTCAGTCCCCCGGGACCATGGGTTCGGTAAAGCACCCGAAACGTTGGGATAATAATAAAAATAAATTAAAGTAATTAAACGCGATAAAATCCGTAAATAATAGTTTTATCAATGTGTAGTGTTCGCGTAAATTTAAGAAATCATTAAAGTTTAATAACCTTAATACATAAATATAATTAAAAAAAAAAACGAATGGTATCACAAACTTCTGCTTATGTAATCATTCAAAAGGTCGGTGTGAGACTTAGGTTCATAATTCATTGTTCGGGTAAAAAAGATAAGCGTCCGAGTTTGATTAACAACACGCAAAAAAATTTAGAAACATCTAATGAATCGTTATGTAATAGTGGAATATTTGATAATTTAATTTATATTTAGTTGAAGAAAATTTCTACAATCTCGGAAGTACAATTTTGTTAATGCCAATTGCCTTTATCGCACAAAACCGGGAACGTTGTTACTTGCATGATAACCCGCCACGGGTCAGAGAGCTCAACAAATTGCCGACAATTTACATCAATTAAGTAGTATTGAACCGACATCCGCACACATCGAACGTGAATATTTATAAAAAAAAAAACAAACGACATTAAAATAATTAAATATTTCAGTCAGTTAATGCCAGTTTAATGGCTACGGTCAACGGTAAAGATTTAAACATGGAACAGCCCGCAGTGCCGCCGTCTTCCTTAATCCGACGCGTCAGTTCGCGATCAATTCGAAATTCAATTTCGGAGGATAAAGAGAATGGGGAAAATGTAAACACTGTAAAGGGTTCTTTTGTTAGTAAATACAAAAAGGCACCGGAGGCGTTGAAGAATTTCCACATGAACGACGTCGAAAATGAACTAGAAGTGCCCGGAACACCAATGACACCACGGACATCAACAACACCTGGTTTGTTTTTTTAAACTATTTTATGGAAAACTTATCACATTACATGGAATTACAATAGTTAATAATAATATATAATAAAAACGCGATGACTAGAATATTTTCTACTCTACAAACATACATAAAAAGTTTATTTACAATCATTAGACTTTTTGTCACAAAAAAGTTTGTAAAGTTTCCTTACTTTTTATCTATATTCTTCGTAGACAGAGAAACCTATAGACAAATTGACGCCTTCTTTCGCATTCGCACACGATAAAGATAAATTTATGCATACGTCTTGCATAGAAATGAGACAGAGCGGTGTGATTGTTTGTCCCTTTCTCCGTGCCGGTTTTTTTTGTTTAGCTAACTACACATTGCTAAACAACTTTGACAGTTCGTAGCGATCTAAGGAGTTTACAAGTTAGTTTATGTGAGAAAAAGTGTTTTGTGAGCTTAAGATTGGTGAATCTTGTTCAGTTCAGTTCTTAGAACAATTAAATTTTTTATCTAAATATGTTTAAAAGTCGTAAAGATTATTGTATAACCTAAAACTACGTTATCGTCCTTTCTCACTCGAGGCCACGATAATCATTAGTCTATCGGTTTCTTTTGTCTACGATATTTTTGTTGTAAAGCCATATTCTACCTGTCATAACAATGTTCTATTTCATCATCAGCCCGTAGAAGCTTGACCGAGACCTCTCCTACTGTTGGGACGATTTCTATTCTTTTGTTTTTACGGAATAAGGGTAACGTAAGGGTAACGGGCACACAGTCCACCTAATGATAAGTGGATACTGTACCCCATAATATTTACATCTACCTTCGATTAAGAATTAAAGCGATGCGAACCCCTGAGGACAGATGGATGTTCCACTCCATAAGAAAGAGGGATTTACCGCCATTATTGGTAGTCATAACTTAAGATTCGTACTCAAAAATGGTAGGTTTTCTTACGCCGTCGCCAACAAATCTTCTATGATATGTATTGGTATTTGGTTGTCAGCGCAAGAAATTAATTTGCCTTTTTAAAGTTATATTTAAATCTAATTACAAAGTTTAATAGAGTTTAGTACTTTTACGGCAAAAAAGTTTCTTTCGTTATGTAAAACCGCTTTTAGGCCTTTTTTTAATGAATGAAGGTGTCTCCCTTCCCCACACTCAGTCCGCCTGATAGTAAGTGGATGCTGTGGCTCATAGACATCTACATTTTTCCTCGTTTAAGAATCAAAATGCACATGCGTTGTCACCCCTGAGAACTAAGATGGAATGCCTCGTTTCCAGTAAAACGGGTCTCCGGTTCTCTACACTCACCATACGAAACACAGCAGCATTAAGCTGCTATTTTACGCTGATGTTCTGTGAGAAGGTGGTCCTATCCCGGTCGAGTCAACCCATTCGTGATACTACCATAATATAGCTGGAGCGTCGATCTACCATATATAAAATATAAAACGCCACGCTTTATATACAAAACTTCGTTGAACGCAAGAAAAGCATTTCGATTTCTGTTGGCACCAATTGAAGTTTTAAATTATTATTTTAAATGCTGATTTAACACGTGTTCGACGGCGGAGAAAAATATCATGATATTTATATTGTTATTGTTGATTATATGAGCGAGAATTAAAAAAAATATTTAGAAGATGAGGATCCCACTAATATCGTAAAGGTGCAAAATATCAGCGAGGGTAGAGAAAGAAAAGAATAAATATTTTTTATGTAATTTGTTCTAATAAGCTGATTGAAAAGACATTTTCTACTTTTAAAATGAGCATGTTGGTATTTTAAGTTTTATCTGCGAATACCTAATAATATTGATATACCACTCCGGTTCAATCATCAAAGATACAAATCCCGGTCGGTACTTAGTTTCGGTTCTAAACTTAAAAGGTTATATTTTCCTAACCAGAGATTCGTATAGTCAATTAGAAATAATCATCAAATATACAACATGTAACATAAATAACGCACTTTGAGAAAGTAGTTTGTTCAGAATCGTTTACTGAATCGATTCCTATCATTTTTAATATAGGTAATTTTTTATCCCAAAAATAATTAAAACTACGTAAGTTACAGTCACACTAAATCTGCACAGTCAAAACAAACTGAAATGTACCCTAACTTAAGGCGATAAGACGTTTAAGAGTGCATTTTTATTTGTATTATTACTAATTCCGTTATTTAATAAAAATAAAGAAAAATGAACTTTATTTCAAGTACGTTAAAGTCTTTGCGTTCGTAGTTTTGTACTGTGACCACAACATTCTTCCGGAATTAGTATAACTAATTTGATAAATAATCAGTGCATAAAAATGTTTAACTAAAAATTCAGTGTATGTATTATGATTATAACATATTATACTAATTGGGGTGTCTGAGGGTGTGCTTAATTACGTTACATATTGTATAGGAAACATATATTCTAGTGATTCTATAATTTTATTAAATTATACAATAGCAATAACTTTGCAGCGATAACTTATATGATATATTATGGCTGATACTTTGTTATATTCATACATTCTTTTATAATCTAGACTTTTAATAGCCCATTTTAAACAACTTTTGTTTAATAAAAATTTTAAACTTTTGGCGGGACAGAACCTTTTTTATGGAATAGGGTGACAAATGAGCACACAGTCCACCTCATGGTAAGAGGTTCCTGTGGCCTATAGACATTTAAATCTATCCTCGATTACGAAACAAAATGCAGATGCGTTGTCACCCTTGAGGACTTAGATGGAATGCCTCGATTCCAGTAAACGGATCTCCGGTTCTTTACACTCACCATACGAAACACAGCAGCATTAAGCTGCTATTTTACGCTGGTATTCTGTGAGAGCGTGGTCTATGGTCGTGGTGGTACTACTAATATAACTGCAGCATGGCTCTACCACGTATTAAATATTTTGCCTGCATATTTTCTGGAACTTTGTTGTAAAAGCATGTACATTGCCCCATGAGCGATGAATAATTAAACGTATTAGATCTAAATACATTATATTATTTGTTTTTTTTTCTTCTTGTGGTCGATGATATAATAAAATAATCGAACAGAACTATAGGCTGACTAGTGTGTCAGTGTCAGACATGAACTATAGGCTACAGAATATACTATAGAACTAAAAGTATGTACTTTTTGTTTAAATGAAATGACACAAAGTAATTTTATAAAGTGGAAATCTATCGAATAGCAATAAAACTGAAGTTTATTACCTGGTTGAGAACCGAAAGTCCTTTTTACTCCTAACGCAGAATTCTATTTCATCCTCAGGTGTGAAAACACATTTGGATTATTAATCGAGGATAGATGTAGGCGTCTGTGCCACAGCATCCAGTTACTGTTAGGTGCAACATGTGGTCGTTTGTCACTTTTATTCTATAAGAAAAAATTAAAAGAAGGAATTACTGACTCGTTGGAGTCGAGTAACTGGTATTACTAACTAGCTCCTAGTATTTACAGAATGTCATCACTTTTTTTAATACGACTATTGTTGCTTTTGTATAAATTTTCTTAAATATGGGCACTGAAAGGCCAGAGTTATAGTATTCTTATCAGTATATAGTTTATGTTTTCTGGATAAAGTCAGATAGACAAATTCCTCTGTTGCTATTGGCCTAGCAAATTATTTGATACTTATACCGACTGAGCAAAATGTCAAATGTTATTTAACTCACGAACATGTTCAAATCGCAATAGTAGAGTTGCATGTTAAGAAAATAATAACTGCAAAGCAAAAAACTGTACTTTAGAACTATACAACTGTGCAGCTGATTATATCTCGTACAATATCAATGTATGAGAGAAGAGTAAAAAACGACAGTTTGTTATTTTTTTTTTGTTTTTAATAACTTTACACCGTGATAGGACTTTATCCTGTATCGTGGAGGCGGTTTGCATACATAAATGGTAAAAGTTACAGCCTATATACGTCCCGCTGCTGGGCACAGGCCTCTCATTTCTGAGAAGGTTTTAGGGCAAGGAAGTGTCGGCCGCGTTGCCCCAATGCGTGTTGGCGAACTTCACATGTCTTCGAAATATTTTTTTATTTCTCAGACATGCAGGTTTCCTCACGAGGTAAAAATTGCAGTTAACAATTTCATTGGTGCCGGCGGGTATCGAACCCGGGTTGATCGCGTACGTTTACAGCGAGCGCTAACCATCTGAGCTACTAAGGCTCATGTATAAATAGCTGTTGTCCTGTTACCGTAAAAAAATACGTGTGACACTCGAGGACTGACACGGTAAAGCACGGTACTGCATAGCATTTTTATCAACTTATGCAATTATAATTATTTATTTATTATGCAGTATTTTTTTTCTCTTTGTTTAAGTTTTTTTCTTTGATATTAATTCAAGTTACACTTTTTGAGTTTGATGACCGATAAGAAAACATTTTTTTCTTTTATTGGATAGATGAGAAGTTAATATTGTTTAAAATATTTTTATTATCTTACAATAGATGTAGGTTATTCAGGAATTTTTACCATTGAAACTATGTATAGGTTTATGGTAATTAACGAGTTCTTCCGACAAACGATAATTTTCTATAAAGTCTGTGTTTATTAAATACTCTAAATTCACGAAAGTTGCTAGCATGACGACGACTCATATAAATCCAAAGAATATGCTTCTTGCAATAAACTATATTATTGTTTAAAATATTTTTATTATTTTACAATACATGCAACTAGTCTACACGCATACGTCTAGTAGCACGCACACAAACACCGTGCCGAAGTCTGCCGAACTTAAACGACGTTAGACGATGTTAGGTTTTCGGGTCTTAGGTTTTTTTCGTTACGGAATTTCTTGATTCGGTCGCCGCGCTCAAAGCCCGCGATAAAAGCTATGCAATAGCTTAAAACTATTTATAAATGGTACAATAACAACTATTTATAGGCTACAAAAACGCTTGATCGGTACGGGATTCGGTACTCGCTCCCCCGTACCAACGCTATCAAGCGTTTACACATTGCGCTACGGAGTCGTCGCTAAAAAATCGTTGGTAGTA